AAAATCTGCCATTAGCATGAATACATTGCAATAAAAGTTACTGTTTCTGAAAATACGAGTACATCTACGTTTCAATGCATAGAAGCATACTTGACCCTGACATCCAATCACCCCACCTTCATGACAATTCCCAACAGAGACAGGCTGATGGCAACTCGGTCTACAACTGGAAGCTGAGTCCCCTGGACATTTGTGCATAAAGTTAGCAATTCAATTGCTTATCTTTTGCAAGCAGATCGCATCAACATTATTTTGAATGCTGCGAATTCTTGACAATGACATAACTATCAAGATTTTGGCAATGCTAGTAACTGCCTCTTGGCCTCATGTCACATCATGTTATTGTCACACAAATGCAATGATACAAATACCGTAGATCACAGAAAATAGCCCCCCACCCCACCCCACCCCACCCCACCCACACGCCCTCAACCCACCCCATGTGCACATGCAGAGCATCGCTCAGCATCAGGAACATGGGGGCACAATCTTGCATAACCCCATGCTATCTTACATGCCCCCCCGTTCCACTTCACGGCATTGACTCAGTATCGCCCCCATGTTCCCATATCGACCACTAGGCTAATTCAACATGTCAAATACCTGCCCAAAATAGGATGCCAGTCACAGCAAAAGTGGGAGACGTCACCATTATATATTTTGCGGCTTCCTGCTCTGCGCCACCACATCTTTTGATGGTGGATGAGGGTGTCACATCCTAGAAGATGTATACCTGCCATTCTATCTAACATATACCAACCCCAACCCCAACCCCTGCGCGTATGCGTGCGCTCTCCCTCTGCAGCAGCGGCCATGTTCCATAATGCATGGGGCACTGTCCAAGGCCCTCCACTATTCAGCAACCCCTACACTATCCTTTGTGATCTATGGTAGCACTATTCAGTAGCTGTCAGCACCCAACATTGAGATCGACACACATCCACATGTTCCTCTGATCAACTTTGATGTACTTCAATGCACGATTGTCAGTATGTGCACATGCGGCATACTTCCATATTCCCTTGGACATACAATTATTACACATGCTTCAACAACTACTTTGACCTCACAACACGATACTTCAATTCTACACCAATCAACTCTTAGAGAGGCCGTAAGATGTAACATCAGCTAGAGATGTTGATGCCCACCTTTGCAACTGAAAGCCATCAGTGAAGCTATCACAAGCAGTTTTATAGTGTCATGCAGCTCAGCACAAGTCACATCGTTCTCAGGCAATCGACACTCAAGTAATTTCAGATTTAGTGGATCCACCACGTTCTTGCAAATGTCACTTCCGCCAGCTCACCTGGTACCAAATTGACCAGGTCAATCCTGCCGCCACTGACACCGCCAAGCCCTGCACGTTGATCAACCAAATGTATTGACAGCCAGCTGATAATCACTTGCCAGCACATAAACAAACTAACAGGTTGCCATCGATGGAGTGGTACCCGTCGCGGCCAATATGCGCAGCACGCGTCAAACATAGAGCAAGCAACAAACTCAGCACCTCAGCAGAAAGTGCCTCAGTACTAGTCGCCCTAACACTTGTTAGTACATTCAAAAGTGCTCTGCAGTGATGATCAATAACACAAAACTCTACAGTGTATTTGAAGGAGCTCAGCAGCTGACAATTGGCAGTAAACGAGTCATGGATAACATGCATAACAAGCATGTTGAGTTGCAACCAACTGTGCATTCCTAAAATCAACGAGAAGACAAAGGCACAATTGACTAAACATCCGCATTCTGCAACTTTCCCAACTATTTCAAAACACATTGCAACAATGCTTTGAAAGAAGCAAAATATGGGTAGTGTTCAAAATATTGAAAACACTCGAAACCAAAGAATTACCACAAGCATCAGGCTGGGCCACGGCCCTTCACACTCACATATTGGTGTGCCAAACGGATATTGTCGCCAGTCACCTGCCCAGAACACAGAATCCGATGTAAATTTACCCGATTAAGAGCCATTTGCAATTGCGCCACGTTACAGAAAGCATGGCATGCATTATTGGTGACTTCATGTGAAGGCCAAAGAATCACACAGCACTGACTGTACAATAGCAAAATAACAGGCTGCCTGCACAGTGCAAATGTACCAAAGGATAACACGCCAAGACTTGTGAACCACATGTAGTCATGGCCACATCCTCCTACAGTATACTATACTGCACAACGTGCATACTACAGTAGATCTCACGCTAGCGCATATGCTGGGCGGCCAAGTATATCCTTCGCTGTGGTTGACTCAATACGTTGTCACAGCCCGGATTTCGCCCAGGTCTGACTTACGCATGCTTTGGGGCGCCCTGCAGGGAAGCATGGTGGGTAGTGCCATGGGTGCATGAGACACAGGCAGAACAATGCACAATACCCAAGGCCATTTTGCTACAAAGATTCAAACATTTTCTCACCGCAAAGCCAAAGGAAAGAACTCCGAGTCCGATTGCCGTGCTGTGATTGGGCCTCTGCAGAGTCTGCATGGAAGCATATGTCAGGCATGCAAAACTAGGAATTTGGTGATGAGCGCACATTGCAGCAGTTAAACCGATTGAACTGTGCACTATGTCCTATGAAAGGTGGACAATAGTGATTCACCACACTTCCACGCATTAGGGGACATCTGGCGAACTGTTTTGCGAGCGGGAGGTAGAACTGGATAGAGCCCAAACACTCCTGCACACCAAAGCCAGACATCAATCACCCACATTCCACCCACAATGTCGCTCAGTGAGGCTGACAAAATCCTGGAATTGCAAGATTTTACCCTGGGTTGACACCTGGCCCATTCACCCATCCCCCATGCACCCTGAAGGCAACGGTTGCACATGCAAGGACATTTGTTCCATGTCTGGTTTCCAATCATTCCCTCTGCCCCTCTGCCCCACACTTAAATGGGATACTCCAAGCAACAAGAAAGGAAAACGCCAAAAAGATCTTCCTGTTTAATTCTTCTTCTTCTCTTCTCTTTCATCAATGGAAATGTGAGACTGAATACTGTGATGACATACCTGGGCAGCTGTTTTCTTGTGCACCCAATCTGAGACACCCCCTGCAAAAAGCGTGCAGTCTTGTGCTGACACGATGCCAATGAGGATGTCATTCAAAGGGTACCCCTGGCCCTGGCCTTGGATGCCCCTGCCACTGGAATCTAGCAGCAGGATAGGGGAGCCTGAAGGATCACAGTACCCGGCAACAATTACCACTTACACATATCAACAAGCACGCCACAAGTGTGTTCACAGAATTTGGTCTTGTCGAAATCCATCAACTTACCAGATGTACGGCCTTTACAAAATTAGAAAGATGCAATATCAAACCAAAATTGCAACAAACAAGCATTCTTCACAGCAGAACAAAGCAAACAATTCATCAGTTGTGGTGGCATTCGGCATCCATGGAGAACTGTGCACAGGCACAGTCTTCGCAGCATCTACTGTGGTTTCTCAGTCTACACACAGTGCACATGATTTCTTGCCCCGGTGTGTTGCCATTGAATATAGAATACACCTGTTGTGCCTACAGGCAATTGTCAAAGCTTCTATTGGCAACAAGTGCGATATGTACATCAGCCATGCATTGCCCAGTGCTTCCCAGCAGTTCAAACGACACCTACAATATGCCCAAGTATATGCCAAAGTACGTGCCAAAATGCTGAGCAATCGTGTTACTACCCATGTTTCTTTTCCGTTTCCAATTGTACATCACATTTATGTGTCCAGATGCAACTGCCATGGCTCCAGCCCTCGCTGCATACGTGACGACACTATCAGACAAGCAGAAATTCCTTCTTATGAAGGTGGTGCAAGGCTTACCGGAGTCTGGATGCAGACCATGCAGAGATATCGTCCCATTGGGAAGCACATCAACTGGCACCATGCTGCCGTCCCGTCTGAATCCTGCCGCCATGGAAGTGGTGCAAGGACTGTAGCTTGCCTGCGATGGCAACATGGGGACCTTCGCAGCAGCTCTAGCTGACAGCTTCAGCAGAGCTATGTCACTCCCATCATCAGGGGTGCCTGTCCAGTTAGGGTGCATTTCACAGATCTGCACAGCCTGACGACACATACCGAGTCTGTCAGTGTAAAGCTCGGCCATTTGCTTGAAGTTAACCCAGAACAGCTAACTGATGATCACATCCAATGCCTCCTCGAAATGTGCAGTGCTTGTTGCACCCCACAACCGGACGAATGGACAACAGTCCGGATCCATGACTGAAACAAAAGGTCGATGGCCCCCCTACCAAACCTCCCCATCCATGGCCCCCGCTGCTTAACAGGGCATGAAAATTCCTGTCACTTACAATTTGATCACCGGCATATCTCCCAAGGGTGACAGTGAGCTGCGCCGCATTGATGCAGTGGGCTGCAGTCAGCACCCACTCATCCTTCACTAGCACCCCACTGCACACAGCGCTGTCAGAGCCCAATGGCCGAATGGAGGCCAAATATGGGAGGCGCCCCTTGGGCGCCGGCCCTGGGAACAGATGTGAGCAGGTTTCCAGGCCCTCTGTCTGCTCGACAATCCAGCTTTTTATTCTTTGCACATCCACGTAGATGTCTGGCTTGGCTCGCTTTCCACAGGGCGCCCCATCTACATTTATGCCAATGAGGAAGTCCAGGCTTGGGATGCCTCGAGCAAATTCATCGCCAGGTGCGTCCAACAGCATGAGTGGTGAACCAGAATCCACTGCAGTGGAAAACCCATGCAGTCAGTCGGAACCAAACACCAACAAATGATACAGGGCAGGGAGGTCTGTGTGCTGAAGAAGGCAGCACACAGCTCAAGAGTTAACAGATGAACCAGCAGCGGCCAGCAGGCAGCAACTGCATTGTTGGCAAGGATCATACACCAGGACTGAAACAGAACAACTGGCAATGGGCTGCTGTGCTACCACCCCATTGCCACAGCACTAACCAGCAGCGCATTTGCCAAGACCACCTTCATGATTCATTACCCTCATCCTCGCACACTCACCCACACATGATGCTTCCTGTCGACCATTCAGACCACACAGCAGACCCTCAGGCTTTGCTCCACCCCACATCCCCCCCCCATTGCACACTGTGTCGGCAATGAACAGTTGCTCTTCTGTTTTCAGGGTGCCAAAGATGTCAGAACCAAGCTTGAGATCTGTGCTTCCATACCCAAAGGCAGACAACCTCTGCCCCGGCACCAGGGTAAAATGGTCGCCGGCCACGCGCGGAAGAGTGAGGCTGCAGCGCTCTGGCAACTTTATGAGGGCTGCATTGTATGGTGAGCCCTGCTTTCCATCCCATTCACCGTGAATCACAGACTTCACAGCCACCACAGCCTGCACAGATGGCAAAAGTGAAAATGCAGACACATCCTCAGCCCTCTGCTGCTGGAAGACCCATGGCTGAACTGCAGGATCAATCATGTGCAACACTCAAGCCCCTAGTAAAAGTGCTTGCATCCACAAGAACTGCAGGTGTTGAAACCTCACATAAATGACAAGACACTTAAGTGACAAGGCATGGACTCTGGCACTCCAAGAACGCTGTGGCGATCACCAAGCGAATCGTGCACTGCACCTCTGGCCACCCATTCGCTTCCCGAGACCTCACCCACAACTGGTGGTTTTGAGCAACAATATCCATTGGGACAAACATGGAAGAAGAAAAGAGCAAATCCTGGAAGAAATATGGCACTGGTCCAGTACTATTCCTGCAGAAGCTCCAGCACTCCCGTCCAGCAGTCTGTTCAATCTGCAAACAGCCAGTTTGTTGTCCCAGGTTAGCTCACCAGTGCGTCATCTATGCCCAGTTCCCCTGCATTTGTCTCGCTGATGTGGACAACAGGGTTTCGGCCAGCACTGTATGGTGACTGGTTGTCCACACAGTGAGCCGCAGTCAGCACCCACTGTGAGTGGACTAGAACACCACTGCAGATATGGGTGCGTGCACCGGGTCTCCTTACAGACACCATGTACTGCACACGCCCATCTGGGACATTCCTCGTATTCTCCCGATGAATCTGCAAGCATGCCAAATGATCAACACTGACTCAATCTGTCAAAAACATCACAAGCTGCCACTCTTTTTTGCCAGTTACATGATGTATGTGTGGCAATGCTTGAAAACAGGAACTGTGCTCCCGGCAAAATCTTGGTTTCCATACCTGAAACAGCAATTGTGTTGATGGGTGACAAGATGCTGGGCAGTTTGTCCCAAGATAAGAAAACAATAGGGTGGCCCCTTCACAAGTGTTTCCCCACAGCATTCTCCAAGATACCCACATCCTATTGATGCAATACAGTGTGACACATTATAGTAATTTTTGCAGGCACTGCGGTGGTCATTTCGACCATTCCCAAGATCGGGGACCAGCATGCACAACACGCCCGCGTGCTATAGCTGCATCCCACACACCATGAATTCTGAATTCTGAATTGTGACAGTCCTGGAATGGCAGGTAAAAGTACCAGACAATGAACCACTGTCCCCAGTGTCTTGCAAGAATCGACAACCCATGCCAGTATCCCCAGTTTCCGTCTTGACAACGCATAGCTTGTCATGTCACACGCAGTGCCAACAAACCACAAAACTAGGAGGACGGCACCTGTTTGCCAAGGGACTGGAATGGTTTGAAAGACACATCGCGAATCCAGTCCTGAACATGGTCGAGACGCAAGTGCGCCCCTGCATATTCTCCAGTTTGTTGTCTTTCCTCTTCCTCCCTCGCCCCTCCACAACAGCTGCTTCCAAAGGATACAATTCCCACAACAAGGTCCAATTTAGGATCTCCCAATTCCACGTCCCAGTTTTGGGCATCAGGAATCAGAAGTGGACTGCCACTGTCACCTGTGAGTTGCAGAACAGTACATATCAGTTTATGATTTCGGGCACATGCCTCTTCGATGTTCCTGACAGATAACTTTTCCAATGCCACCATCAGACAGGGCCTCTCTCCATCTCCCTTGACTGCAGCCCCCCCTGGTGCTTATTGTACCTCCAGCTCCTCTGGTGCCAGCCATACCCCACATTTTCTGTCTCACCCTGCTCCAGACAGGATTTCCTGGTGAGCTTATCGATCCCCACTTAAGCTCATGCTGGAAATATCTGCCTCACCTTTGCTCAACTTCTGATTTTCATCAGGGTTGAGACACAGCATGTGAGAACAGCCGTCCCTGCGATCCTCATCATTCACAGCCATTGGGAGCAGATCTGCATTCGTCTCCTGCACATGGACTTCTACCCAGCTTGCAGCATTCTGAGCATGTACCAACGATGCCACCCCTGGTGGGATAGCACCTAAGGAAGGCGTGGAACCACGCACAGCTATTGGGAGTCGCAACAAGCCAAAGTCAAAGTCGTGCTGACGATGACTTTTCCATCTTGGATGATAGGCTAGTACTTCTGCTCGCACAACCTGTGGAACAGGGATGAGTAGGGTGCCGTCATGTCTTTGAAACTCTAAGCAACGTCCTTGTATGAACAATTGCTGGATGCCTGTCAAACAAGCTCACATCAATGAGTCGTACCACACAGCAAAGCAGGTCATCCATAATTTGCTGGGGCACTGCACGTTTGAATTCTGAATAGAGTGCCATGGGACAGTGCAGGAGCACACTACCCATGACCATTGGAGCCCTTGTGGAGAATCTTCAGGATCCAAAAGCAGAACTAATCGGACTTGCACAGAACAATATGTGTGGGGACACCATCCGTGACCAACTTGTGTGATGGACATACAGCACAGGAAGACAGCCACCAATCACCAAATACATAGCCATAAACTGGGAGCATTTTTGACATTGATGACCCCATGCCCGGCACTTTGTTCTACAGTAACAGCATCACCCAGTCGCTGTGCTGTCATCAGACTGTCACTAGCGCAAGGTGGAGTTGTCAAGCTGGTTAAACATAACACCAGATCCTTGCAACCTGAGAATTATGGGATAGGTTTCCTAAAAGCGCCTTGTTATGGTCTGGTGGGTGGCACTGCTGAAAATTGTTTGTGGATGAGTACGTCAGCAGTACTCGCAGTGTCCATGGACATATTCTCCAGGATGGAACTATGCCATTAACATCTCCCAATATTTAAGCAAGCAGCCCCCCTCGCCACCCACACCACCCATGCACCTTATGAGAAACCCACACACACACGCAAGCAAAGACAACTGATAAGAAAGTCTTGCTTCCCTTGTGTTCAGAAACCGTGCTTGTACCCACCAGCGCTGTCAGTGGTATATGAGCAGCCACCCACAGTCTCACCCGTGGCAGGGTATAAAGACCATGATGAATACTGGGCCACTGGAGCCACTGGAAATTTTACCTGGTCACTATCGTTATGGGCACCTCCAACAACCACATAGAGATCTGGCCCAACTTCATCAAGGCAATGTGCTGCGGTCAGAACGTGCTCCGCTGTAAAGAGCACTCCAGCACATTTTGTCACGTCCGTGACTTCTCCCTTCAGACGCACGATATAGGGGTATCTTTCTCTTGGCCTTGCCTAGCAAGGTGCAGCAAGGAATAGCAAAGTAAGCAGGCTGCCAAAGAAACTGTGCCCAGGTCAACCACACGGCATACCATCAAGCAAGGCACAAAGGAATTGAAGACCCAAAGAAGTGTTCGTCTTGCAAACAACCAAGTAAGGTATCAGGCACAAACATGGATTCCCCGCACATGCAACTCTCTGTGGTACGTGAATGCCGCCAAGGATGCTTGGCTGTGTATTTGTCGTTGAAGAAGCAGCAAGCGAGAGGCCAGGGAAGCAGCAAGCTCACCTGCAGCCTTGCTGGAAGGCCTCCAGGGTCATGCACATCCTGTACTTCCGATTCTGATTCTAGAACTCCCCAGGCATGTGCAACAACTGCAAAAGAAACTACTGTGAGAAACATGACTTCAGCGGCTTCAGGAGAGGCACAGAATGACCGTGCGATAACTGTCCCATCATTACTTCCTATTGCAACTTCACAGAAGCCAGGGTCACTGCAGCTAAGCAGCTAACTCTGCGGTTCTTGTATTGCCATCAGCGTGCCCGAGGTGTGCACTGCCAGGCCATACTGACCTTCGAAGTCAAGGAATGATAGTGCCAGAGCAGACAGCATCCAGACCGCACCCATGTGCGCATTCGGTGGCCAGCCTGTAACCACCAAGAGCCCATTCAGCACAAAGGGAGCAACAGCGAGAGCCGCACACAGAAAGGCACTGGAAACATTGACACGACAGCTTCTGTTATTGAGGCAGGTTTCTGCACCCCAGGGCTGCAATGGTGCAACCCTCCTCCACATGGGCTGAAAAAACACAAAAGCCTCGACTCACGTTTTGGGCGCCTTGGTGCACCCAGCGCACTGCACTTCTGTAACCTCGGACCCAACACACGTTGGTCCCCCCCGCCCGGGAGAGCGCTCTTCCTGGACATTGGCGGAGACACTCCGCTGGGCGCCATGCCTGGCGCAGCGAGCTCTCGTCCTGGCTGACACATTCAGAGCTGCCTTGTCACCCTACAGAGTTATTCTACCATCCAGCCGCCTCTGTGCACCCTTGCCCTGCAGCCCGTCGATTCTGCGGACAATCGCTGGGGCAATTGTCCGACCACGGTTCCACACGGGTAGATTTTTTGCCCGGTCAACGAGCCTCACAAGCCGCGCACTGCGCGACGGCGCCAACAAGCGCCTCATATGGCCAGGTCTACCCACATGGCTACGGCGTGAGCCATTAGAAACGCGCCGAAACGAAGGTTGTGAGGGAAAGATGGAGACCAGCGTGCACAGCACAGGCCTGAATTCTCCTATGGGCAATCAGCGGACGCAGGAGAGTCGCCCAAAAGACTCCGTACCACTTCCTTTCCCACGACTCAGTTATTGAATGCCATCTCCCATGGTTGGGTGCCGCGTCGAACAGTGTCGAAGCGCCGGCAGGGCTGTCCTGGACTCCCCAGGGACACCAGAAAGGACGCTGCACCCGCGCCTCCGCAATTTAAGCCGGCGATAATGGTTTAGTTAGGAACACCATAGCCACGTCAGCACCGCCGCAGGCGCTGCCCGCGAGGTGTCTATCTACGGTGCCTCCCCACCGTAGCCAAACACCTCGCCCGCTAGCACCCCTGCCCGCTTCTTGTTCCGCTGACAAGGCCAGTCCCGGTGTGTGGATCAGTAGTTGGGGTTTAGGGTGTCCGAAAACAAGAACCGAATCCCAGCAAACAAGAACGGGGAGCAATTTTATGCCTGAAATTACTCCTACGTTTTCGCTGATATGCGATTCTTGGTTTGCTGACTGAGCTGATGTGGTTCAGTGGTCGTAGGTCTAAGTTGCGGCTCTGGTGATGGTGGGTTGTCATGCGCTTCATGCCGTCCACCGACCCATGGACAGGAGGACGCGCCGGGCGGCGCGTGGTCGGAAGGCAGCAGCGGCGGCCGGCGATAGAGGCTCAGACTTCGCATGGGCTAGGCGAAGCATAGTGCATGAAGGTGAGTCGCATTCCTGTGACGGAATTACTTGGGGAGACCATTTACTCCTTTGACTTTTCCCCCTGTTCCCTGAGGCCTCTTATTGGGAACATTATTATCTTAAATTATGTTAATTAATAACCTAATTAAGGGCCCTAGTAGATGGGATTAGGGCCTTGAGAAGGTGCTCATTTATTTGGGTGATTTCCGGCCAGTTGCAATAGTTTATGGCAGCTTGGCGAAAGCTTGTACTTAGCACGGGTGACTTTGGATGTTTTTGAACTCTCGGCGGGCGACCTAGAACGCGGTGTGCCCTGCCGTTGTGTAAACTACTAGGAGGCAGCCGGTTTACTCACATTATACATTGGGAAGTGATAATAGACATGAGATTGTACTTAGATCAGACAGAGGAGGCTGTTAGCTTTCCATAGGTCTTTGGATCATCCCAAGCGGGTTAGCGGTGGTGGAGTTATAGCCTATTAAAATTGCAGTACTTAAGGTTGGGCCCCTACCATACTCGGGGATGAGATACTATCGATACGGTATATTCGGTACGTTGTTCTGTCGATTGTGTACCGCTGCGTGTGGGGGTCATGTGACCGACCCCGCACAACGACCTGTAATTCCATTCGTGCCCACTCTCACCTCCCAGCGGCTGCACCCGCAGGCCGCAAGGCGCTGTGCGCACCCATTGCCCGTACGGCCGCCCCACACCCGGCCATTCCGCAGGCCTGGGCCCACATTGCGCACCCGAATAGACGAGCGCCCCGCAAAGCCCGCCGGCCATTGAGCGGAGGGAGCCCCGCGGCTCCATCGGGCGCCTTAGCGGGCGCATTGCCCGCGAACACACCGAAAACCATGCCAGGTGGTTTCGGAGCCGGCGGATGCGGGCAGTGGAAGCGCAGCACGCAGCGCGAGAGCAAGAGAGGGAAGCCCCACTCGCGAGGGGGGTCCCCCAATCGATTGGATCTTGGGGACATCAGCCGGCCAGGTAACGGCGCCCGTGAGGGGCGGGGCCTGAATCGGCCCGGATCGGGAACCAGACCGTGCGCCCGGACCCGTGGGGGGAGGCGCATGCTATTGCTGTACCGTACTAACTGGTACCCGGGGGTATTGACAGCCCCCTACGGTAACCAGCCCTATAGGGTTATGGTTACGATAATGTAGGAGTTAAGAGTCGCTACACCAGGACTAGGGCGGTGGCCACCGGTACCTGGGGTCTGGTGCTGGGTCCCGGCTTAATGGCCTTCGAGCGCCCACATTGGGACTCTCTCTCTCGCCCCTTGTTGCGCGCTGCCGCGCAACATATGGTTTTGGAGCCGAGTTCTCGCGAACCCGGCGACCTTTTTCAGCCCCACCCACCCTCGCGGTGCGGCCCCTCCTTCTCTATCGTTGGGCCGCTCCGCCTCCCTTCCATCGCCGTCCTTGCCGCATCCCCGCCATTTTCTGCCATTCCCATCGCCATGTCCGAGGAGGCGACATCCAGCCAGGCACTCGGCGCCGATGGGGACGATTAGCCGCTGCAGGCCATTTTGGCGGCGCAGGCGGACGACGTGGTCTCCACGCAACCAATCGGCACGCCCCTCCAGGCCAATTCGGCCGAGGGGGGCACCGTTTTTGCATCGGCGGAGGGGAACATGCCCCCCACATCCTCCCCTCCTCGGGCAAGTACGCCCCCGCCGGGGCGCCTGACCGCTGGGGCGCAAGACGCCTTTTCTTGCAGCCCGAACTGCCCTCCTCGCCCTGCTGCTTTGGGGCCATCTGACCTGCCTGATGCCCGCGCTTTGGCTGGGCAGATCCTGCCGTTTTTGGAGGAACATCTCCGCCACATGTTGGCGGGGGTGGGACCCTCCAGCCGCCCTCCCACCTTGCCGAATTCTGGCCCGATCGCGGCCACCACCCCTCTCGCCCTGGTGCCCCTCTTTTCGCTGGCTAAAGGGGGCTCAATCTCCAATCCTTTGTCTTCCATTCCCACCAACTTGGTGGGCTCTGTGGCGGCTTTGGCTATGGTCCCACCCGCCTCGGGATTGGAGGCGCCATCTGGCCTTGGGGACCCGATGGGTACCCAGATCGGCTCCCTGCTGCTTGTTGGTTCGGGATCACAGGGGGAGGCTTTGGCTGGGCCTTCCCTCTCTGCTCTGCCGCAGGTAGACGTGGCCGCTCAGATTTTTTCTGTTATTTTACTTCTGTATTTTTTTTAAAGACAAAAAATCCGTCCATCACTTTTCCGTTGTTTTTCTGGGGCCGGTTTTCTGTAGCCGTTCATGCCACGTCAGCTTCCAGTTTTTTGGCTCTGGAGCTGTCCGTCAAGGGGGTGTTTGCAGCCACCAATTCCTGTAAAGATGCTTTTTTTTCCGTTGCCTTTCTTGGCATTCTGTTGCCATCCGTCATGGACTTTGAGATTTTGGAAGCTTGTCGCAAATAAAGGCGTGGTCATGACGCCCAAGAAAGCTGGATGTGCCTTGACAAAGTGCCGCCCGACATGTCATTCAGCTATTTTCCATTCTTCAATTGCCTCGATTGGCGAATTATTAGTACTTAGCTCAGGCCCTTCCCGGCAATGATCGCCACCGGTACTCGGCCGCAGGCAACACACACATATGACACATCATTACGGCATACTATAAATCGTAAGTACGGGCCCTTCCCGGCAGCGATCGTCGCCAGTACTTGGCCGGAGGCAGCACACACACAAAACACATTATCATGGCGTACTATAAATCATAAGTGCGGGCCCTTCCCGGCAGCGATCGCCGCCAGTACTTGGCCGGAGGCAGCACACACACAGAACACATCATCATGGCATACTATAAATCATAAGTGCGGGCACTTCCCAGCAGCGATTGCCACCGATTTTTGATGGAATTCTATCGACCTTTGTGGCCCGGTCAGCGGTTTTGTTATGGGGGCCTATCATCCGTAGACGGCGGCGCAGATTCTGTAACACGTGGTTCCATTTCGGTAAAGCTGTGTGGATTTCTGTAGTTGTCTATGCTGACGTCAGTATGGATGCAAACACTATGTTGAGTACCTTGTCAAATGGTTGGGATATGGACATGAGCATAATAGCTGGGAACTAGCAAAATCAGTTGCAAATGCACAGGAAATGGTTCAAGCATTTGAAAATGGCCGAGCACCTATGACACGTATGCAAACTGCATGAAGTACAGGATGTATATATTGAAAAGTGCTCATTTGTGTATATGCCTTTGACAGGTTCTCCTGAGATGGGCCCAGAAGAACACTAGGTACCGCGCCCCCCGTGCCAAGACGCAGTACGGACACATGAATGCCATGTCCGTCGCGATCTTGAACGGGGAGAGGTTGGAGTCTGCTGACCCCTACGTGCCACCCCCTCGAGCACCTACTCGGGCACAGGGACGGGGGCGACGACGGGGTACCACACTGGGCCGTTCTGGACCGGCGTGGGCTTTTGGTGGTACTCACCA